CTTAAGGAAAAGTGCCTCTCCGCATCAGCAGGGACATCAACTCGTTCACCACACCAAGAACGCGCAAATTGCTGACGAGAAGGTACACTCTTCGATGACCGCCAGGTGCACTCCGACCCACTAGCATGGAAGTGGACACATTGGGACTAGGAAGAGCATTTTGCTCTACGAACAGGGGGTGCCCCGGTGTTCCATGTTAGTGAGTGGGGGAGCATTGAAAACGACTCAAGTCCGCCTCTGTGACGGGGCCATGTTGAAGCTTCCCGTGGGCTCGGTCATCGACGCGCACGAGAATCGGTGGTTGATAGACTTCTCAGCGCCAACGACTTTTCATCCAACAATCCTTTCGGTGCTGGTTGCCATACATATATACAATATACTCCCGAAAACCAACATAGACCCTGACAATGGTCCCATGGAAGACGATCTTCCTCTACCAACCAGGGGTTTTCAGGTTCCATGTTAGTCTTCCAGGGTGTACTTCTCTCCCTCTCTCTCTCTATCGTCTATACATTATATATCCACACCTATCATCACCCATCCTCTTTTGACTCCGAGAGCTCGAGTGCGGCCCTTTCCAGGGTGGCCCAGGTGAGGGCACTTCATGCTGCTGAGGGGCTGAATTGGTGGTGGTTGTGGTCATGGCTTCCACCAGTGACCACAACAAAAGAGCCTCGCGGCCGCGGTTTTCTGCTGTTCTCCTAGAGCTTCGGTCGCCTAGTGCTTCGGGGTGGGGAACCGATACATTCCGGACGTATCCATCACACAAGGCATGCCGAAGCTTTCTTGCCAAGTCGTTGGACACCTCAACGCCGCCTCGATGGTTGCTGGTCTGTTGCTGGTGAAACCGGAGGGGAACGACACCCGCAGGGTACACCCGCAGGGTGTCCGGAAACCAACGCGGGCAGAACAAGACCAGCCAAGCGCCCAAAACCCGAACGAGCCAAATGATCCAAACGATCTGTGTCCACGGGTTTTTCGCACAGTCTTCCCACTCAAGGAGGGAAGGCTGGAGAGGGAACCAGTTGCTGATGAGATGGTGGCATTACGGCATGGCTCTAAGTGAGAAGCTTGATCCACTCACCTTGATCCACTCCCTGGTTCTTCAGAACCTGAACCAGGGAGACTTGCTCGACAAGTGTGATGCCCTCCGGTCCGGTGCCACGGTCGTCGTCCTCCGGTCCTCCGGGACCAGGATGAAGCCGGGGACACTCTGCTGCTCTGCAGGTGGCTGAGACAACTTCCTTTGGTGCGTGCTAGTGTTCAAAAAGACCGTTCAAAGGCCTACGAAGAGTCAAAAGGTAGAAAAACGTATTGTGTTGCCGGCTGGTCATGCATTTCCTGCAGCTTTTTGTTGGTACATGTTTGTGCTAAACCTCAGTGGTTTGATTTAACCAACACCTCCATACCCCCAAAAAACAGACTTGGACTGCCAAGAAATGACGGTCATTCCCTGCGCCTGAATTGCTCGACGGAGGATGCCGCGCCCTGGCGACATGAGGGCAAAATACGGTAACCAGGGACATGCCCATGCCATAATTATATTGGAATGCACAATTCTATGTGCTTGCCGCCCCCCCTTGCTGATGCAGCAACCACCTGGAAAAGAACTAGAACATCCTCAAAATCTTCTGGGGCCTGAATGGTCGGAAGTCTGTAGTTACTACACTGTAGCTTGCCCTGGTTCCCTCTTCCTTGGCACCTTCGGTTCGGTCCTCCCACTAGCTACAAACTGGGGTAGCTAGGCATGGGATGACACCTACATGAACCTGACCGTGACCCGAGCGCGGCCAAGACACGATAAAACCATGGGTTTTTGCATCCCACGGCAAAAACATAGTAAATACAAGTCTTTTTTTTTGGCTTGCCGAGGATCAAACACATCGATACTTACGGTGCTTTTGGGTTCCTACTGCGAAAGCAACTAGTAAATATCACGTAAAACAACTAGTCGTCGCCTGCGCGCCTGTCCAACAAGCACTTGATCTTTTGCCCAACATGTCCAGTTTCGATGAAACATTGCATTGCAACTAGACCAGCTTGGGACGGGTAGTTACTGGCACCCCAGAACAAAAGGTTAGACGGGGCTCTATAAATTAGTAGAAACAATAAGCTACTAGGAACAAGTGCATCGCTTCTAGTAACAAGTGCCTTACTAGTAGTAACAAGAAGCTATTAGAAACAATCTAATTATATAGAATCGAATACAACTTAATTCCTAATAGCTTCTTGTTACTACTAGTAAGGCCCTTGTTACTAGTAGCGATGCACTACTTGAGGCTTGTGCTACTAATCTCGAGATCCGTGACCGATCCAACACCCTGCCTCCAGTCTTTGGTCGCTTCTTCTCCGAAGGCCTTGACGGGACGCTCTCGATCCCTGCGCCTGCGGGAAAATGCGAGCTGAGACCGAGCCGAGTGGAGGAATCGCGGCGGGACACCTGGAGCATCCAAATTGATGAACGCCCAACGACTTCCACCCATGTTTCCAAGATGTTCCGAACTCGTGAGAACTCTGACTCAACATGTCTCAACAGATTCTGATCCGAATAAGAGGGTAACTAAGGACTGTTGCTTGCCAAATGTCATACCTTGAGCATCCATGCTCGTCCTGGGGAAGTGTTCCACTGGGTCGCAACGCATCTCTGTGGCCATGGGCCACTGGGGGGCCACGGGGCTGGCCACGGGGCATCTTATCTTGGATTTGCTGTCCGAGTATTATTGTTTAAGCATTCTAAATTAAACGACCACGAGCTCCATTATTTATTTTAGCTCTTTATTGAATTTAATATCATATAATAAGTATTATGGTTTATCGTTACGTACTTTTTAAAATCATTTTCACCATGTTCACCCACAGCGAGAATCGATATCGCCCGATCAGCAAAACCAGGTTATCATGCTGGACCTTTTGTGCGACTGGGTCAAGTGAGCACTCATCTTGGTCTATGGCCATCACAAATGCCTGGTCAAAATCCCGTTTTGCCTGGTCCTGAAACGACCCTCTACGTCTATTGAGTCTATTGTGTCCACGAGGGGCATCTTAGCACTGCGTCGCATGGGCGGCATGATCTCCCACAGAAACAAACAGGATTGTGCCACCAACTTTGAACCAGCCAGAATCCCTCCAGAGTGCATGTTTCAGGCGGAAATGAGGTGCCGGAGAAGATTGCCTTTATCCATGCTTAGGGAACAGCGAAGTGAACCTGACCTGAGCGCCACATGAGACTGTCTATTGCTAATCCTGCTCCAACAGGAAGCACGACATCCTGCTCCAACTACAAGCGCAACATCCCCAGTGAGCAGCGACCACTGTTGATGAATGACCGAATAACCCAAACATCGACTTTTCAGATCTTTTCAGCAATTTATCTCAAAGATCTCTCCACATATGATGGCGCTAGTCAGGACACCTTTCAACACTTGGGCAGCCTTGGCCTACAAAGTTGTACAATCATGTCCGGTCTCTGTGGCTCTCAATTGGTGCCTCAACAGCTAAAGCCAAGCGAGGGCGGCATGGCAACTGACCACACACATGTGGCAAACATCAAAGTAATTACGTTTTATGCTACTTGTTGCAGCGCTGGGCAAATGCAAAGAATCTGCTCTCCGCCTTCTTGCCAATGTGTCCATTCCTCTTGACAGCTCTCTCTGCGAAGGTGAAGGGTCATTCACTGTCCGAAGAGTCCGGTGAGTGATGAATCAACAAGCATAGCCCGTTCATGGTGACATAGCCCATACACCAAGTCAAGGCCAAACATGGAAGACTCTTCAGGGTTGCAATCCCCACTACTTTAAAACCAAGGCCGCGCAAAGCACATGATGTAAAGGTCAACCATACCCATTGCTCTTTTTGACTGGCCCATCAGCGGTTCAATAATTCTACATATAATATGTAATTACACATTCAGATGTAGACTTCAAAGACTTGAGCCAACAGTTCACTCGGCCATCCAAAAAGCTCTCGGAACTGGCAAAACCTTGTAAAACACTTCATCGACCTTTTTCAGGTTCCTCCAGTTTTGCGCCCCTGTTGAACGGCATCAGTGAGGCCAATGAATTGTCTTTCAGATTGCAGGACTTGGTCCACCACTTGTAGTTCCACCTTCACACAATTTGTTTCTGAACTCTTCTCCTGCAGGTTCATGTGGACTAGTAGGAATGTTAAGACCCTGTGGCACAAACGCAGGCCTCTGCGTGTTGCCGTGCATTTTTTCTGTGAGAACCTTGCCCCGAGTCCCTGAAGACAAATCGCGCAAGCTCCAAAGACACGTAAAGCACACCAGCTTGGCAAACACCTTGTCTTGTCCACTCTTGTTGGGAACCCATTCATGGGTTGATTCATGGGAGAACAAAAAGACGTTGAACATCTTGAATAGTGGATCCTTTCCTTTTCCTCCTGCTGGTAAACACCACCCAATACAAAACGCTCGGAAGCACTACAATAGTTGTGGTTTTGAATTGGGGGTTTAGTTTACTAATGTCTTGTTCTTTTGAACAAGTAGCCTAGGTAGCCCTCGAGGTTGTCTGGATATCGTTTGTAGGGAGATGGTTTCTTTACAGAAAGCGGGCTGTGTGTATAATATACAGGAAAAAGGAGCATTCATGCGAACCCGCCATGATTTTTCAACGTGAACTGCCTGCCTTAAGAACACCTGATCAAGATTTGCCTATAGGCCAAAGATTGCATTCCGGCATGTGCACGGCATGTTACCCAGCTTTTCTTTGAAGACTCCGTTTTTAAACAAGACCATTCCACACCCTGTCTGTCTTTTTCGCTGGGCACCGTTTTGAGTCGTCCGAGTCGTCCATCCACGTCGTCTTCCAGTCGCCAAGGCCGTTGCCATGTGGTGAACACCGAAGCCGGGTGTGATGAAGAATATTAATAAGTGCATACATACCGTAAAAATATGTAAACATCATTAAAAATCAGTGAAATTGCTATCTTTTCTGGATGCTACAATGCTACAACTGAGATCTTCTGACATGACCCGTACGCGCCTACCGCCTACCATGAACATCTAAAATCCCAATGTCGCTATATACACGTCGCTTTGATCTGAACACGTCCCACTCGCTCCCGCGATATTTTTCACTCCAGATCTCCTCAAGTGGAACAGCTTCGCCAGTCCTGCGACCGGTTTTGGTCCGACCGGTCGCACTCCGGTTCAGAAGCGACCGGTTGGTCGCACCGGCGCATGGTTGCTACATGTTGCTACACAATCCACACAGGTGTTTTCTTCTACAGGTTTTGTAGTTCTTTATTCTTTGGGGTCAGAGTGACATAGCCTTTGTTTCCGCCACCCAAAAATGTAGCTAGACAGGAGATTGCACTTCCCTTCTTCGGCCTGACGTATCTAGGTTGAGCCACACACACATAACAAAACTCACAGTATGTTACTTACAGTATGTTCCAGTAGGTTATGTCAGTGGTATCTTTAGCCCTACTAGTCGTTTATATCTTTGGACATGGTCCAATCGCAATCGGTCTCGGATCCTTCCACCGGGGAATTCGTCTTACTCGTTGGCCAGTGGGGGCGCATCGTGACATTTCCCAACAACACACATGCATAAATTCAAATATATACATATACACATTGTAAAAAAGAAAACATATATAAATGTATTTATACATCTACGTATACATCATTATACAATATATAATACATATAACCGCGTTCTGACTGGGCGTTCCGAGTCCATCTCCAATAGGATCCACACTTGCCTGACCCACCTTTTCCAGCAAAAGGGTTCTCATAATCCTATGTTCTCATGAGTTGCTGTTGGACCAAGCGTGGCAGCGCAAGCTTGCTGCAATTCCAAGCCTACTTCAAGCTCATATTGCCCAGAATGCCTCGAATCTGTCTCTGCAGCTGACCCACTTTTATCGCACACATTGGTGCATGCTGAGCCGCAGGCGGTCTCGAGATTGTCTCGAGCGGCAACGGTCTGCCACTTACCTGTTCAAAACCGCCTGTGCCAGAAAATGGTCGCCTTTAAAGTGGCCTTCCTGAGTGACAGGAGAAGCCGAGGCTCTTTGCGCGTCATAGGCCCAAGACCCAACTAAACCGATAAAGCACTCTCCATGCAGATCAAACTGCCCATGCTGGACTGTAGCCTGACCAAAGGCACCTGGGAACAAAGCGTGTTGAAGCGCAAGCGCATTTGCACCAATGCTCTGAAGCATCGTCCTCGTTTTGGGGCCGCGACGCGCCGACACTTCTCCGACCAACGGGCATCCTGAAGCAGGTACTTTGAGAGGCTCAGTGGGACACTTTCAAGTCCGAGTAATTAATTACGTACATATATATATATATATATATATATATTTGCTCTTGACAGGTGACACATGAAACAATGCCCCAGGAACCGACATAGACATGCCATGTATCTTTCCATGATCGTTGCACAAATTCCGTGCAGTCTGTTTCCGTCATCCTTCATGAGCCAGTGGTTGGATCTGACTACTATAAACTCCGCTTCGGATTGGTCACCCCTGCCCGATCGTCCGCCGTTGCTCCACGAAGCGACCTACTTCTTTGAATGATAAACGCGAGGTATTGGATGGTGTTGGTGACATTGAGAACCTGACCAGAGGCATCTGGTGAAGCAAACGCTTACTGCAGCGAACTTCTTCTATAGATTCTATCCTTTACGTTGCTGAGCCCTTAGGGCACTCTGGGCGGACATGCCAGGTTCTAGGGCGCTCACCAACAACATTTCACCAATCACGGGTTGTGTTCCTCTATTTATGAGCTAATCTTCCTACATCTTGTGCAACAGGAACATGCTGTAATCCCATTACTATATAGATATGCTGTAATCCCATTCGCCAACCTGGTTTTTAGCGTGCGAAAGGGACACCAAAGAACGGAGGCCAACATGGTCTGAGTGATGTCGTCAAACTGATGGCTTTTCTCAATCCATGACGATGCAAACATGTGCTATTGATGAACAACAAGCTTACTATCTCAAACAAGCTTACTATCAAATCCATGACGCACATCACGATTCATAAAGAAAACTAAAGCGAAGCCCAGGATCGCTGCTGGCATCGATGTCATTGCACAGGTTTGCGGCCTCCTGCTCTGGACAATTCCCTGACGTCTCAAGCGCGTTGGTGATCAGCGTCATGTTCTCAGCGCGGAAGAAGCGAGTTCGAACGCTTGTAGTTCGGAAGCAAAAAATATACACAAACACACATGCACACGCACAGGTCTCTGGTGTGCTTTCTTCTCTTTTTGCATCTTCCCATAGCTTGGTGTTCGCCCCACTCCGAAGCTTCCCAAGGTCACCGAGCGGAGGAAGCTTCGAGCCAACGGTTCTTTTTTCACGAGCGGCACGTGAAATAGTGCCAAACTGCAAAAGCTTCGTGGTGTCTTATCAAACAAAACACATCTAACAAAACAACACACACACATATATACTGTATATATATAATATATATAATATATATAATATACTACCCCTGTGCCACACTACCCCTATTGTATAACCTGTGCATCCTCCACCCCATTATTTCGCAACAAACATATAGCATATAGTACAGGAATGCATTTGATATCATTAAATTAATAGTACACACGTGTCTCGTCCTCCCTCCCTGCGTGTGTTCTTCTCCGTGCCGGGCGGCGGAGAGATCGGCGTGGTTCCCGCTGCAGCTTTCTGGGGCGGTGCAAGAGGCTCCATCTAACCAGGTGAGGTCCCCGCTCTGCCAATAGTCCTCGGAGCCGGTGTGGGACGAGGTCCTGCTGTCGTCCACAGCTGAAAGAGGTGCCTTGATAGCAGTAGTCTGGACTTTAGGTTGGTGGAGCAGCTTGCAAAAGAGTTTCCTGATTCCATGGATTTCATGATTGCATAGAGGATCTTGTAGGTCAACTTCTCATTTGCAAGATCACTTTGGGATGATTCAGCTGATCTAGGAGTAAACAATTGGTATCTTATCAGTTGGGGGGGTAAACCTCATTTGCTGAGCTCGCAAGAAAGAAGCCGCTTGACATGGGTGGGGCTTTGTCCTTCCAAAGGTCCAAATACCTCCGCAGCGGCGCGCAGCGGAAGACTTGTGGTCGGCTCAGCCATGCTCCCCAAAGCCACTAGAGCCCACATGAGCCCACAGTCAGTCACCATCCGCCAACACCATACCACAGTCACAGTCCCAAATCCTCAGCCGTGCTCCCCTTGGCAGTCACCATCCGCCCGGAATTGGCGGTCGAGAGTCGATGACCAGGACCATCCCATCAGCGAGGTTCTCCCACTGGACCTGGAACAACGGCCCAAACGAGACGATGCGACAGCATAGAGCTAAGGACTTGGAAAGGACAGTGGATTTAGAGTAAATAGGCCACCAACTAGATAGATAGAAACAGTAGATCCATGTAAAATGTAAATCCCCATGTAGAACATGTATTGGAAACGAGACATGGTGAAAACGGGTTGCAAACGACCAAACCCAAGCCTGTGGGCATTGTGGGCATTGGTCACCATCGCGAATCCAAAGGGAAAGGAGTTCATCATCGCCCACTTTTCAAGGAGTCTAAGAATGCACATTCCTGTTGGTTTTCAAGCATTCAAATGATTTAAATGTAACTCGCACGAACCACACCCACATATCACTCGTCAATTTTGCCAGCGGCACATTCAAGGGGCTACCAATGCCACCCATGCTCTTGGTGACCTCGGGCAATGGCTCTTGATGAGTCCCTGTCATGAACTACAAATTTCTACATGTTATTTTTTCCAATGAATCTTTGTCACGCTTTACGATTCGTAAAACAAACGCTGTCCCACGAGCCGATTTTATTTTTGACATACGGTTGGGCCAATATTAACATATGCTGAACCCTAAGTGAGGAACCAAATATGTGCGAAGTATCCCCATGGTTTCCTCCCTGATTGACCGGATTTGAGCTCCATGTGCCAGGTTCCTTCCTTCGTCCCTGGTTCCTTGGGAAGCGTCTCCAGGGCGGAAACCAACATGTTAGGGTAGGCTGGCAGGCAACATATTCATTGGTAAGTACTACCCTCGCCTCGACAAAATGCCCGTCCTGAGTTTCTGGACTCAAGCATAACATAGACATACATAGACAAGTAAGTAATGTCCAGTTCTTAAGTGACAGTCTGGGTAGAAATGGAAGTTGATTGATCTTGGGCGGGGGGGAAGTGTTTTCCTACATCTGACTACCCTGCCCTTGTGGCACTCTCTTGTCATATTCCAGCCTAACAACCAAACAACTGTGACTACAGCGATGGGCTGCGACGCGCGCGGTCCAGTTTTGGAGCCGGGCGGTCTTTCCATTCTGCCAGAGCCGGGCGTAAACCTGGCTTGTGGCAGCTGCAAGTACCAGGAGGTGTTGCACTAGAGCTTTCCAAAATACTGAATTTGACCTGCAAACTTGCTCTCTACAATCCAACGGCTTTGTAATTGGTCTCGAGCACCCAGAATGCACACAAGGGTGTTGGAAGGGGCCCTCAATCCACTTCGGCAACTAATTACATTGTACAAAAACCCTGACACTGCGCACTCGCACACATATATATATAGTGTTGCGTACGGTTATATGAATATACATATATATATGTTGTAATATATCATATATCACTACACCACACTACACCATAGTCCATAGTGCACACTTGTCAGCCACGATGGTCTACCTGGTTGACCTGCCTCAAGGTAGTTCTGCGTGGAGTCCGAAGGGTTGATATTCTCCTGCGCTTGGAGCGAGAAGTTGAACACATAGTCCGTGTCCTTAGCGGAATGCTCCTTCCACCCAACGCCGGAACTGCCACCGCCACCACACAGCAAAACTCCTGGTCGTGTTGAAGTTTGATGAAACATGATTATATAAACACATTTAAACACCCTCCATTTGGATTGTAAAAGCGTAAAGCCTCTTCTACCTCTCGCGGCCACAACGATTCCCCTCGTTTGAGGTGGCCAGTGCCGCCAGCGTTCCACTGGAGCGGCATTCGAAAAGAGTCTTTCTACAGGACGGAAGCAAAACACTATCGAAATTCGGCAACAGCAAAAGCCCAAGAGGACATCGCGGCCCCTGTCACCTTGCGTGACACAAGTGTGAGCAACATCAGGGCATCGTCACAAAAGTAGGGTCGAGCACCACACAGCGAACC